TGTGTGTGTGTGAGAGAGAGTGTGTGTGTGTGTGTGTGTGAGTGCGTGCGTGCGTGCGTGCGTGTGAGAGAGAGTGTGTGTGTGTGTGTGTTGTGTGTGTGCGTGAGTGTGTGTGTGTGTGTGAGAGTGTGTGTGTGTGTGAGTATGTGTATGTGTGCGTGCGTGCTTGCGTGCGTGCGTGTGTGTGTGTGTGTGTGTGAAAAGAAGGAGCTGAACATTACAGGAATAGTTCACCAAAAATTTAATTTCTGTCATTATTTACCCACTTCCGTGTCAATACTAATTAAAACAAATGATATTCTGTAAAACACAAAGAAATAAAAAAAAAGGTTAATGGAGTTTTGAATTGACCATATCCATCATAATAGAAACAAACAAAAATGTGTTTTTTTTTTAAAGAAAATATTTTAAAGAGCTCCTTTAAACATCCTCATTTTGTGTTCCACAAATAAAATAAAATAAAATAACAGCATATGGGTTTGGTTTGGAATGACATGAGAGTGAGTAAATGTCATTTATGGTGGTTTTCCCTGTTTTTTGTTTTTTTGTTGTTTTGTTTTTTAAAGACGTTTTAAAGAGTGCCTTAAACATTCTCATTTTGTTTTCCAAAAATAAAATTCAAATAAATAAAATATAAAATGCAATACAATAATGTATTTATTAACAATTTATTGTTAATAAAAAATAAAATAAAATAAAATAAAATAAAATAAAATAATAATTGTATGGGTTTGGAATGACATGAGAGTTAGTAAATTTCATTTTTAGGTGAGCTAGTGTGCTATGCCTTTAAACTGAGCTAACACACACACATCACATATAATTTTCTTTTTTTTTTTCTTCAGAACTGCACAAACCAAGTATTCTGTTAAGGAACAATCCGGAAGATACAGGAAAAGGAATAGATAAGATATGGAAGATACAGGATTCTCTCACACAAAAAGTAATTGCAAAATTAAAAGACTATATCAAAACACATCCATATTGGTATTAACAAAAAGCTGCCATCTTGTATGAGGTAATCATAACTTCTCATTCACAGCGCTGCTATGACCTGGAGCAGGTATATTGTTGGGCCGCTAACGAGATGACTGTAATTGATTTTTGGGGAATAGAGTCATTAACCTCAAATGTCAGCACCTCCTCCTCAAGAGCTGAGATATTGATCCGCTGATGCAGGTTTAATAGAGGCTGATGTTTAAACAGAGATATAAACATGACTTTGACTCGCCAATGAATAGATCAGCTGCTTGTATTGCATCCCAGAACTTTAGTGAGAAAAAATGACATTGAAATCAGGGATGAAAACCCTCACACGGTCTAAAACTTCTCTCGCTTTTCTTTTTTCTTTTTTTAATGGAAGTTATAAAGTCTTTTTGGAGCATTTACTTGCTCATTCTTGATGGTTATTAAAGGAATATTTAGAGTTCAATACTCAATTGACAGCATTTGTGGGAATTTTTTTTTTTTTAGGGAAATCAAGGCGACAGTGAGGCACTTAAAATGGAAGGGAATCGAGCCAGTTTTAAAAGGTGAATCTTAATTTAACAAAAGTATTTCAATTGAGTTTTCTGTTCAAACTTGTATATTATTTTAGCTTATACAGTTTTTGTCAGTTTTATGGTTTTAGACATTTTGTTGCATGTTATATGCTATCCTCAGTGTAATTTAAGTATCATTGGAAAAAGGTTAATGGAGTTTTCAATTGACCATATCCATCATAATAGAAACAAACAAAAATGTGTTTTTTTTTTAAAGAAAATATTTTAAAGAGCTCCTTTAAACATCCTCATTTTGTGTTCCACAAATAAAATAAAATAAAATAACAGCATATGGGTTTGGTTTGGAATGACATGAGAGTGAGTAAATGTCATTTATGGTGGTTTTCCCTGTTTTTTGTTTTTTTGTTGTTTTGTTTTTTAAAGACGTTTTAAAGAGTGCCTTAAACATTCTCATTTTGTTTTCCAAAAATAAAATTCAAATAAATAAAATATAAAATGCAATACAATAATGTATTTATTAACAATTTATTGTTAATAAAAAATAAAATAAAATAAAATAAAATAAAATAAAATAATAATTGTATGGGTTTGGAATGACATGAGAGTTAGTAAATTTCATTTTTAAGACATTTTAAAGAGTGCCTTAAACATTCTCATTTTGTTTTCCAAAAATAAAATTAAAATAAATAAAATATAAAATGCAATACAATAATGTATTTATTAACAATTTATTGTTAATAAAAAATAAAATAAAATAAAATAAAATAAAATAAAATAATAATTGTATGGGTTTGGAATGACATGAGATTTAGTAAATTTCATTTTTAGGTGAGCTAGTGTGCTATGC